GCTGAGATTCTAACTTTTCCTTTTCCTGAGCTCTGCTCCCATTTATCCATCATTTATCCAATATACACTGGACATGTTACTATAGTTTCACAGTCACCTCAACTCCAAAACAGAACTCATAAGCCTGCTCCTCCCAGAGTGTGGCCTGACTCAGTGATTGAAGCTACTCTCTATTAATCACCACACTAGACACCTGAGTGTCCTCCTCGCCCTCTTCATTGCACTCACTTCATCCAGCCAGTTGCTAATTCATATCACTTCTCCTTCATGTTTCCTGAAATCACCACTTCTTCACCAACTGTCAAGTTTCTGCTCTTACTGTTTGTCAAGTAGATTGCCTCCTAATGGATCCAAAGGAGCTTGCCTTCCCCATCCTTTTCCATTGTTTTCTCTCCTATTGTAATTATATTTTACAAGAACCCATTTATGCCACTCCACTCTTAAAACAATTCGATGGCTCCTTATTGCCTTAAAGATAAAATCTGAACTCCTTAGCAAAGAATATGAACTTTCTTTTTCTTTTGTAAACTTCAGAGTCATTTTCTTGACACTTCATAAGTGTCTCTGAGTATTATCAAATCTCTCATGTTTATCACAAATAGTTGAACATCACACTTGTGCATTTTTACACTCTATTTCTTTTGTCAGGCATATTCTGTGCCTAAAAGTCCTTCAAGTTCTACCTCCAGCATCACCTTCTCTAGGTAACTTTCCCAGAAAACCACAACTCCCACAACTGGTTTGGGTGTGTCTTAAGGATTGCAGTGGCCCCTATCCTTCAGGTGATGGCATGTCCCAGGACAAAGTGTTCTGTTCTGCTGGATGAAATACCATTGTTTCGTGCCGTCCTATGTCAAGTGAACACCATAAGCCTTATACTTGCTTTTCTCTTTAAGATACTGTGTAGGCCTGGAATGAGGCCCGGGACTAGTGTGGGCTATTCTGGAAGGAAGCTTCAGAGCCAAGTCTCATGAGATAAGATATGTTGGAATAGCTGATGGATCTTGGAATCAGAGAAGGTTTTGAATGCCAAGTCTTCTACTAACAGCTGCACAGCTTTTAAGGAAAGTGCAGAGAATGTTATACCAATGAACAGTGTGCTTACTAGTTACACAGAGGTCTGAAGTTACAGAGAGCAGTTTGAGCAGTGGTATAAGTGAAACCGGCTCTGGATTTTGCCTTTGAGTCAGAGACAAGACTGAAGTACTAGTTGTCAGGCCTATCTCACAGATCATACGAAACCGGCTCTGGATTTTGCCTTTGAGTCAGAGCCAAGACTAGTTGTCAGGTCAATCTCACAGATCATACAGAAGTTCGTTTTCTCTCTCTCTCTCTCTCTCTCTCTCTCTCTCTCTCTCTCTCTCCCTCTCTCTCTCATCTTATTGATTTCCTCTCTCTCTCTCTCTCTCTCTCTCTCATCTTCTTATTGATTTCATAGAGGGAGAGCAAGATAGAAACATCAATGATGAGAGAGAATAATTGATCGGCTATCCCCTGCAGGTCCCACACTAGGGATTGAGCCTGCAACCCGTGCATGTGCCCTGACTAGGAATCAAACCATGATCTCCTGGTTCACAGATGGATGCTCACCACTGAGCCACGCCAGCTGGGCAGAAGTTCTCTTTTTTTATTTGTAATATATCATTGCGGAGGTAGATGTAATTTGAAGTTTCCATCCATATTATAAAGTTCAGTGATTTTTAAACTGAAATTAACCAGAGGGGTAATATAGAAATATATTAGGGAAATATATTTTTTAATCTTTGATTTGTGAACCCCCTTTACAAATATGTAATTTGACAACACCCCTCTTAGCATTAAAAAAAATACATTTTAGGTAGTAAATGATAAATAATTTTATATTAATTTATTTTTTGATCTTTAGATATGATGTAATAATTACATATTGTATAATAGAATTTGCTCTTACCTTCAGTAATTAATATATATTTTATTGCTCTAGCCTAGACTTCTTCCTTAAGCTCTAAACTCTAATACCCAACTATCTTCCCCAACAGACATCTCATATTCAACATGTCCTCAACCTCCCTTCAAAATCTGCTCCAACTACTGCCTTTCTATCTCGATCTTGCAAATACACGTGTAAATTATGACCACTTTTCATGACCTACACTGCCACTATCATGCTCTATAAGTCATTATCATTTTCTTGTCTGTTAATTTTAATAGCTTCTTACCAGTCTCGATTCTAACTTTGCCTTCTAACACCCAAAATAATTACAATTCTTAAATTGATGACAAAAAAACCTGTAGGATTTGCAGCTGGTTGGAAAAATACAGGTAACTTTATGCTTCAAGTAGGTACTTTAGTCACCCGTGCGATTTGGGGATGCGACTAGCACTAACCACTGCACAATGAGACTGCTGACTGACTGGCTCACTCAACTGGTGCATGAATCCCGCATGTCTCCCCGGAGCTGCGTATCCCGCGATCGCCTGCCCCCCGTCGCTACACCGACCCACACCCCCCACTTCTTCTAACCCCACTTCTTCAAAATAGACTTGCCCAGGCCGAAAACCGACTTCTGCGCATGGGCCATGAAGTTTCAATCGCACTGTACATGCACGCCCACACGTGGTATTTTGTGGAAGAGCCACACTCAAGGGGCCAAAGAGCCGCACGTGACTCGCGAGCCGAAGTTCGCTGACCACTGGTCTAGGACTTTCAAAGTGGTCCTCTTGAAACTAATCAGATGTCATTATTCTTCTACTTAAAATGCTTAGAGTAAAAGCCAACCTCCAAATAATGGCTTAATAGGCTCCATCTCGCCGAAACCAGTTTGGCTCAGTGGATAGAGCGCCAGCCTGTGGACTGAAAGGTCCCAGGTTCAATTCCGGTCAAGGGCATGTACCTGGGTTGCGGGCACATCCCCAGTAGGAGGTGTGCAGGAGGCAGCTGATCGATGTTTCTCTCTCATCGATGTTTCTAACTCTCTATCTCTCTCCCTTC